AGCATGGAGTCTTTGACAGATGAATACAGTAGGTAAACATTTACCTTCCCAGATTGTCTTTCACTCTCATCCTTCCAACCCTCCAGCCATCAGCTTCTTCTCTACTCCTCTGCTCCTCAGTGCCACACTCATCTGTTTTTCCTTGCCAGTGGTCTTGCTTATGACCAAATTACAAACTGGCTGAATGATCACGTCATGTCCTGCCTTATGCACGCTCTACCCATGTGCACTCCCTGTGCATAAACCAAACAGAGTATTTGCAGTATAGTAGGTATAGCATCTGACACGGACAATCTCCTGTTGTGTGCTACGTGTGAAAGGGCAACTCTGGACAAAGTCCGGCCCTGATTCCACAGACATATTCCAGAGTTAATGTGTCAAAATAGCTATAATGTTAGCATGTAACTGATAGTTGTTGATAAAGTTTGGTCATCCTCCTTTCTTTCATCAAACAGAACCATACATAACATATTCACAGACTGTGAATGTGTTTGCTTTCCATTTGTAGTTTCAGATATTGTCAAGCATGGGACAAATAAAATGTAGTTCCTATACACACACATGTAGGATGCATTTAAAGGTGCCATTTGGATAGGCAATATGGGTGATGAGCACTGGAGAATTTGTTTTCTATTCTTCATTTAACTGCTGCCTGACCCTCACTGTCCTGTGCATAGCTAGTTATCACATGGTATCCTAAGGTATGCATCAGTACTTTTTTGATTTCTAAATTTAAATTGTGATGTCTCTTTTGCTTTTACATGCAGTAATTCCTGTTTTTAGAATTTTTCTTCTTCTGTTTCATGTTTTTTCCGTTCCTTTTTGTTTTTTGGTAAAGAATACTTTCCCTAATATCTTTTTCTAATCAATACCAGTTGATCAGGTTGTTCTTTCTTTGGCCCTGACATACCAGATAATGTCCTATTTGATATATTCTGTTCTGCTCTGTCTGTATTCTTTTGCACAAACACCAAAGAAACTCATCTTGCTTTATGTGTGTTTACAGGTTAATATGCTTGCAATTCATTGGCTAAATAATTCATTTATTTTTTCTTTAAATCTGGTTTGTACTATCAAATATGCTCTGGTTTAATGTGATAATACCCCGCTTAAAGGAATTTGCATATATCTTACAAATATATGTAACAGTTGCAATCAAAACTCTATTTCAACTAACGTTGGGTAAGAAGACATGAATAGGTTTTATGGCATTTTCAACATGCAAAATACAAGAATGACTTGTCACAAAACTGTTGGGTTTGGGGAAAAAAAGGAAAGAACAGTGCAAGTCTCATACTGTGAAAATTACATCCAGTACTTTGTGACAAAGGTTCAATGTAAGTTACACAAACCAGCTTGTTTTTCAGTATTGAAGTTTTAAAAATAGCTCTCTTCCTGTGTTGGTTTAATTGAAAGCGTGTTGAGCTGAAACCTAATCTGTCGTCTTTCTCGAGTTTCTCTCTTTCTGTCTGTATCTTTGCCTCACACACTGTTTTTTGAAGGTGAACAATAACAAGATACATTTCTGCTCCTCATTTTAACAAGGAGAATATCAGTGTGGTTCTTGTTCATTAGTATCACACATCACACTTCCATCACCCTTAGATCTGAGAGAGACAGAGGTGTCAAAATGACAGTGTGTGTGTGCATGTTTTTTTCCCTCTCAGCCTCCATGGTAGGAAATTCACAAAAGCCAATTCACACCAGTCTCTCCCTGCTCTTTCGCTCAGTATTCTATTTCGATGTGCTACTTTGCACTCCTGGCCTGAATTGTATGTTGTTTTTTTTTTCCCAGCAGTAGTGTAGATTTTCGTACTACTACTACAAGAGTGATAGGGGCATGCTGGCTACCCACTCTATACATCTCCCCACCAAAGGGCCATAGCAGATTAGATACACAATGCACAGAGAAATGCAAAAGGTGTTTGGGTACTGATGCTAGAAAGAAATTGCTTGTTTATTGAGATTGCTAATTTTATTAACCTTCCCTCCCGCTGTCATTAATAAAACAGCTTGCTGGACTTTATTGTAGACATGTTTTACAACAAGAGCATTAAATAGCAATAGGCAATGCTGGAAAGTAGCTGAGTACATTTACTCAATATTGTAGTTAGGTTCATTTTTGAGGTATCTGTACTTTACTTGAGTATTTTTATTTTCTGTTACTTCATACTTTGACTTCACTATATATTAAACCTCATTGACCTGTGGTGGAAAATTCACAAGCTTCCCAGCTATAATTCCAATTAAAAGCATATTAAAATAGTTAAAACTAGCTCTTCCTAGCTGCAACATTAAATGTGATGTACACAATAATGCATCAGTAATTCTAATGTGGAATGTGTTATTCTGCATAATGAGTACTTTTACTTTTAGATCTTAAAGTATGTATTAATGCTAATACTTTTGTACTTTTACTTAAGTAACAGTTTGAATGCAGGACAGTATTTTTACACTGTTGTATTGCTACTTTGACTTTCTGTATGCAGAGGATCTGAGTATTTCTTCCACCACTGGCATAAGTAATGCAAGTTAATTAAAACTTATTTTTTCCCACGTTGGAGAACAATTGTTCTTGACTAAACCCATTCACCTGCAAAAAGGTTACCTAATGATGGCTGTAATGTGGATACACAGCAACACAGTCAGAAATCTCTGCTTCAGAAATGAATATCTTTCCATTTTCATGAAGCTGTACTTGATTCATTTTTATAGGAGCTTACAGGTTGTAAATAGTTCTTTGTTTGCCTAACAAAGTAAAGGATTAAAACCATGTATTTTGTGTTCAGTACTCAGGGGGTCTAAAACCATGGCTTGAGGGCATCCAAGATATAAATTTTAATCACAAATAGATCATTTTTAATTTATTCTGCCATTTAGTTGTCAGGCAAATCTGAGAGGTCAAGGATGCCTGTGCCTGTAGGCCATTGGTTAATATTAATGACTATCAGCCAATTGGATCTCATCAATAGGTCAGAGGTTATCATGGCAGTGCAGATGCAGGAAGTTAATGCAATTAAAGATGCATCATGTTGTTGACTGCAGGGAAAATGTCTTTTCCATTCTTTTCGTTTCCATTCTGTCTGTCTTAAGATGCCCTTCTGTTTGTCAATTTGCTGCATATATTTGTTTCTCGTCTTAATGACTTATAATTTTCATTAAATTTTAACAAAAGATTGTGTATTCTTTATATTTTTTACTTAGTAGTCCATTGCTGCCTTTGTTTTGAGTAAGCAGTTCTAAAGGCATGTGCTTAGCTACAGTATAAGATCAGGGAGCATATACAATAAAGGAATTATAACATCAGAGGTGAGATATTTAGTTAAAAGCAAATAAGAAAAGTATAAAGCTAAAATGGAGGAGTGAATAGAAAGATCAAGCCCAAATTACTGGTGATTATATGTTTACACAGTTAATGTGGTCTTCTTCTTTCATTGCATCCAAAAACATTCCAAAGGAAATCTGTTGTGTTGTCTGTTACTAATAACACCCTGGCTTCTTGTAGCAGGCTGCCTGCCATATAACACATTATATTAAGAGGTTCCGGTGTCCCTCCTGCCCCACTGCGTCTAGAGTGTTGATAGAAAGCTGATAATCAATAGCTTGGCTCACTTGTATTGAGAATGATTTCCAACTATTCTGTACTGGTTCCATTTCTGACTTTAAGGAGAACAAAGGCCTGTACCTCAGAAATAGGCAACTGGAAAGCTAGCTTGTCACAGATAGTGTAATTAGGACTCTGTGCTGCTCAGAATAATGTTGTTTATTGCTGAATTCTCATATTGCTACTTTTGCCACTTCATGGTAATTCACAGCCTCTTTAGCCACCAGAGATGATGGCAACTGTCTTTCAATCCTAATCGTTGAAACTTTATGGCAGCACGTTAAAACAGCATACTGTATATGTCCGTGCAAATGCTTAGTCATCCATACTGTGTATTTCAGTGGATTTGTCATGTATGTACTTTAGAGATGCATGGTGTTGTGACAGACAGCAATGACTTAATTGGAGTTCTTTTACAAGCCACCAAACTGTTTTAATTAATCAGACAGTCAAATTTTTATTTTGGACATATTGAGGGTTCATAAAATAATAAAAGCATAAATGTAATAATAAATGCAAATACAATAATAAATAGAAAATCAGTTAATGTGTTTGTCTGTTTGTTCAGATCTCCCTTAGGTACATCACTGCAGCAGCTATTCTTCCTGGGACCTATACGTTTCATCAAGTGGCAATACAAAAATACACATTCACACTAATCACAATACTGTAAAATGACATTGGATCAAAATACAAATAATACATAAATAACACAGTAACATTACCAAAATAAGAAAAATGCACAAAAACAGGCAGACTTCCCCTGAATCAGTCATAATTTATCTGCTCTCTACAAATAAAACATACTGTATAGAAAAAAACGATGCATCTATTCCCATGCTTTACTGGCTACAGTTAATCTAGTGAGCCATTGGATCAATAATCAGTAGCCAGTGATTTGAAGCAGAGTTTGCTAATCTGGTTTTGATTGGCTGAATGAGTCCAGAAAGATTTCAGACTCCTTTTAGTGCTATAGTGCTTCACATAGTTTCTTCAGAAGCATAGTTAGAAAATGTAGTTGGAGGTTAGTGAATGTTGTTAATGAAGACTGAAATGGATTGGGTGTACGATTTTTACAGTGTTCCTCAGTAGATACTTCTGGAGTACAGAGCGTGGATCTCCATGATGAGTCCTGATTGATTCATGAATAATCAATGTAAACACTATGTGGCATTGGCTAGACATCAATACCATGAGTCGCTGGCAAAATGGATCGAATGGGTGTGGAACCAAATACTGCAGACTGGCTTCATGGTTGTTCTCTCATATGGTATTATGTTGTTTTAATATGAACTTTTAGCCAAAGAAAGTTGAAAGATATAAGTGACTTCCTAAAGGGCACCTCAACACCAGATGTTTTTATCTGCCTCTGTCTCCTTTTTTGTCTCTCTCTTAGGGTCCCAGGTATAACAATTGCTACAGATATAATATGCGGGTTTCCTGGGGAAACGGAGGAAGACTTCAAAGAGACAATCGATTTGGTGAAGCACTACAGATTCCCCAGTCTCTTCATCAACCAGTTCTACCCCAGACCTGGTACACCTGCTGCCAAGATGGAGCAAGTGCCAGCACATGTGGTGAGTGTGGACAAAGCCACAGAGACTCATTTACAGCTAGTCCTCTGACATGTCTGATTTGTGCAAAAATTCTAAGTTCAGATGAGCATAAGCTCTAATTAACAACAATTTTACAGGGCATGGATTATTTGCAGTTGAGCTGATTAGTGTGATTTACTTATTATCTTTCACAAAAGTGAAAGAAACGAGGCCAGGGTGCAAGGGCTTCCTGAGCAAAGGCCAGGGCATCAGCCATATTGGACACATCACATAATTGGGTGGTGGGTTTTTGATGGAGCTAAAGCACCTTGGCCCTTTTCATAACTAAAACTGTTAAACTAACCCAGTTAGACACAAGCTGTACCACTTTCCATGTAATGTTATTGCTATTGCTCTGATATTTGTATATGTCAAAGCTTCAGCTACCCAGATGTAAACTAGCTACAACAGCTGTTAAAGGAGATGACCAGATTGCCTGAATTTTTAAGTTGTAAATTTGTCGGTCAGCTTTTTGCAAATTGACGCTGTGTATGCTCGTAAAACTTGATTAAGGTTGCCCAAAGTCACAGGCGACAGCGGTGCGGTGGGTAGAGCAGTCGTCTCCCAACCATAGTATCGGAGGTTTGAATCTCAGTGCCTGCAGTCCACGTGTTGAAGTGTCAGATTTGATCTGACTGGTGCTGGCTGAGCAGTTCTCCATGACTTGCTGTGCTGACTAGCCGCTGTTTTAATCACGCTGCTTTATAACCTCCACTAGATGGCAGGCTAAATTACAAGCTGTACTTTTGACAAGACAGGTCACATAGCTGGAATATTAACAAAAGATCTGCAGGTAGCACAGTATTGTGGTGTAAAAGTACAGCTCAGAGGTACCATGTCCTGTCCCATTTTTATTTGATAATCCAACAATGTCTAAAATCTTAATTCATGCAGCGTTAAGATGCCTCACCGTCCTGTCAGACAGATTCACAAATACTGTACAGTACACATATGAAAGCACACAATCTAAATGTGTACAATGTTAAAATCTCAATGTGAGTTAAACATCCGCTGCTGGCAGTTAAAATCTAGATTTGTTAAGATAAGACATCTGTCACTCAAGGCAACATGCCCCCAGTCCTAAGAATGCTGTATTTTCTGAAATTAACAACTGCTATTAGAGTTGCAAATTTTTTGCTACTAAGCCTATAGCATGTTGGGAAAAAAATGACTAGGGAATAAAATATTTGAAAACATGGTTTTAAATAATTTTTTCTTTGACTTTAACACAGGTCAAACATTTCTCAGAGTCAAGAGCAAAAGGTTATTAGCATAAGTGCATCCTAATTCACTAACACATCTAATGGTCTGTATAACCACACAACTCCTGACAGCTACTCTCTCTCTCGTCCCCAGTCTGCTGCCAGATGAAACAATTAGCAGCTAATGAAGCCATAATTGTTAGCAAAGTTGTGTGCAAGAGACAGAGTATGTGAGAGAGCAATGTAGATTGAACACATCATTATTAGCAGCTCCAGCATTTGCTTAACCTTTTGCCTCACAGGGTTCTCAGCTACATCATTTTTTGGCAGCGCTACAGACATTTGTGATATAATTGTAAAACCTAAATAACACCAGTGTTGCTTATGAACATCAACACTATCTTTAGTCCCTGCAATATAACTTTAGTTTATGCTTAATTATGTTCATTATGTTTTCATTAAGTTCATATTTGCTTTGATTTTCTGCACTTTGATTGAAGATTCATGCACAATTATACATATTGTGGTCAAATGAAACTATTGCTTATTTAATTATTAAGTTCTACTTAGAATTACTGCTTTTTCAGCAGTAGCTTGGGCTGGTACTTTTCCATTGGCCAGTCTACTCAAAGCTCATTGATAGCTGCATACACACGCACACGCACAAATATATATAGTAACTTTAGCCATGGGACACATGCTACTTATGCTTGTACCTGAAATGTTTTTCTTTAGCTGTTTTTCTTCTGTGGGTTGACCTGCAGTATGCTGTACCATATACTGTGACGCTATATGTTTTATCACTTTTTGCATTTGCACCCACAATCTCGACACATCTCTTTAAAGTGAAGCATCTTCATAAGTCATTCTTGTTCTCCCTCCTTTCTCGCTTCATTCTCTGAGGAGAAGCTGAGTGTGTCTCAGAGGGATCAATCCCCTGACAGCCACCTCACGGTTTCCCCCCCCCCCCGTTTTCTTTCTCCTCCACCTGTCTCATCAGACTTTGTCAGTATGAATCTCTCCAGGACTTCCTTCCATAGGCAGCTCTTTGATTGTCAGATTCTGACACTCTGCTGGTTCCTGTAGAAACATTCTTTGCCAAAGCAGACGCTAGGGCTGCTGCTAATGACTATGTTTCTGTTGATTAAGCTGTCTGCTATTTTACTGATTAGTCGGTTAATCTGGGCAATAAATTTTCTTCTAAAAGGTACATCCTAACAAAAATTCAACACACGAACCATCAGCTAAGCCATGAATACAGTGCACGCATAGAAGCCTAAACATTTTCTCATAAACTTGTTCAGTGACAACTTTACAGTAGCAGCAGATGACTTTATGGTTTTAATAATGACTTTAGCAGCTACAAAGACAGAAAATATTAACAAGCTGTCTTCACTATTAGTAATTTAATGCACATGAATACACATCACTTACAGTGGTTTTGCCTTTTCTGGCTGTTCATGGTGCCTATGTGGGTCTCTCTTCAGGTGCTCATGCACAGAGCTAGTGCTTCTCTGGTACGCTGACAAAACTTTACCCAGTGTACAAAACACTTTTCTGTTATTGATCATTTGAAGTACTTTCATATTTTCACAGCTTGGGGTTTTTGGAAATGTTTGCACTGAACCTGTTTTGAAAATGTGTTAGACTTTGCCAACTCTGCTGAAGCCACCATGAATTTCTAAAACTCTATTGTTGACTGGAGCCAACTAACAACTGGAGCCAATAACGACTGACGCAAGCACATACTGATGCAAGTACTTATGTAGTGATATTCTTCTTCTGTGGATCTAACTGGCAGTTGGCAACCAGCTGGGTTATGACACTGAAGAAAACATTTGCTTTATTGAATGACTGAAGCGTTATAGATGTCCAAAAGTTCATAAAAATCTAAAGATGATGAGCCAGTTACAAATATTGATGTTGATGCATTTTAATAGTTAATGTAATCGATTTCGTAGACCAGTGGCGCCTGCAGGATTATATCCTGTAGTACGCACAAGAACTGCCTACGGCAGCGTAAACCTTGTTTAAGATACTTTGCTGGTTTGTATGAGATACTTTGCATATTATTATGACGTACTATATTTTCTTGTTAGAAGGACATAGGCTATTTTGTCATTATAACAACATAGCCTAATGTAATTTCTCATAATAACGTGAGCTGTGCACAGCTTGGAGTGAATGCAGCGGGCACACTGGCTTTGAGTAGCACCTCCAACGTTCATTCAGTTCAGCAGCCTCTCACTCATCAACACCCTCCCATACCAAGCTTCCACACGGTTGCTAGCGTTGCTCTTAGGATGTGCGCTCCAGCCGGTCCTTGAGAATCACTGATTTGACACTTAAATCCGTGCACAGTGATAACTCCACAAAATAACACATGACTGTAGCTAATGGGAGCAATAAATAATAAAATACTCTGCACATGTCCTGATGATGTTACAGGCATTTTTGACAGCAGGTAAAGTCAGTGTGTGTCTGCTGTCACTCACTCCAGGCTGCAGGGCTCATGCTAGGGAATAGAAATGATGTGACCCACTCTCGGGGTGTGTCATATCATATTAGATAGCTCTTCAGGTCATACATTTGAAACTATATTTCTCTATATATCTTATATGTGGATCATACAATGACTAGCAGACATGGTGTAAAACTTGAGCAAAATCATTTTCAAAAACATGTACACACAGTGTGTACACTGTTATGGCTGCAGGTGCCACTGACACCAACTAATCTCAGCAGTCCTAAAATCTGCCTTTTTAACATCTGAAATTATTCTTTTATCTACTTTTGTTTATTTAATGCTATGAATTTTGTGCTAAGCAACTGATTAAACATTATAAACATTATAAATGATATGAAATGCACAGGCAGTAAAGGGGTGGGCTGCTTAATTTTAACAGTGGTATAAGATTTCCTTGTTCATTGTCATCTTATATCTTCAGTAGCAATTTCCACTAGTCATCAAAGTATTTAAAGTTAATTGTGAGCATATTTGTGTTTGACAGAGAGAATAAAAGGTGAGATAATATGTTAGGGTTCCTGTAACCAGTGCACCTGCCATGGTAGTAAAAGCTGCACACATCGTCAGATCATCAGTCAGCATGCACCTGTCCTTACACACATACACCCGCATACAGGCAGACACGCACAGTAAGTGGTGGCAGCTAGGCGACGTCTAGGCCGGGTAGGGTCAGTCATTAATAAAGTGCACCAGATGGTTTGTCTGGAACACAACTGTGTTGAATAGCCACAGGAGGGATGGATGGAGGACTAGATGAAGTAGGAAGCAAAAACAGAAGGAGGCCTTAGAGACAGAAGGTAAGGAAGGAGGGAGATAAGAAGGAAACCTAAAAGGGAAAGGCAGATGGATGGAGGAAATAAAGTGAGCTAGAAAGAAACAGCTATAGGGACATGCCTACTGTGGATCCTGGAGGGGCACTACCCCCCTTAGAAGTTTGACCAATTCATCATGAGTGCTCACTTATTAAATGGGGCAGCTATAAGGATGTCAGCTGCACAGTTTGGCTGTGATGGAGCCAGCGACATGAGTTTATATTTAAATGTATCAAATTTAATCTTACAAATGTGTACCACACTCTGCCCTTTAAAAGTAAGAACAGATATTAAATTCTATTTTCTTTGTGTTACAAGGACTTACCTTGCTCCCTAGCTGTTTACCGGCACTCACTCAAGCATTATTTCAAAGGATTAACTCGTCTTACTGACACCTTGTAGGTTAAGATCAGATGAGCAAAATTTTTCTGTTGCACTATT